CCCCCCCCCCCCCCGACGTGGCTCGTTGTTGCTTGCTGCCTGCGAGCCAGGTACTCGTTGGTCGGGTTCATCTCGCACGTGGGAAAGAACACCGGGTGCGGTCACTACGTGGCTCACATCAGGAAGGAGGGCCGGTGGGCGATCTTCGACGACCGCAAGGTGGGTGCTCACAGCGACGTTTTCTCCCCGGAGGCTTGTTGTTGTTGTCGTTGTTGTCTTTACATCAAAATCCGTACCATGTTAAGACCCTACAACAGTCGTACCGGTCCAACAAGCGCTGACGCCGTCCGTTGGGTGTCTTTTCACGGGGATGTCTCAACGTATGGACACGATCCGAATATTGTAACGGGACGGTTTTTGCAGGTAGGCAGGATAAAAACTACACCATGTGATATTATTCCGCAAAACCGTCGCCGTGTTGGAGGCGTATTTGCCCTTCCTCGTCATGGTGCATAGGCGGCGAAAAAACGAAGGTCAAAACACGACGTGGTACCCAGATTGAGAGTGCGTACTCAACAGCCAGTACATGGTACCGAGTGCTGACACTCGTCTTTGTGCACCTAGTCATGTGCTCTAGCCGACAAAAAGTGGCAAGAATCTGTCTTTGGCAATCAATGGCCATTGCTGTGTGTCGGTGTAGCATCTACTCTCTCAATACTGTCAGGGCCGTTTCATCGCCGATGTTCTTTTTTTGTTTTTTCAAGTCCTACATGTATGCATCTTTATTTCTTTTTTGTTCATGAGTGATTCTGCTGTGGACGCTGAAGGTGTTTGATGTTGACGAGATTCCCCCCTCCCTGTGCCCCCCTTCCACCCCAACCCCCGCGTTTGCATGCCTCGTTTCGAACGTTTCGCCCCCACGATACTCTAAAGGTGGCCGAGTCGGAGCACCCCCCCCTTAGCCTGGGCTACCTGTACCTCTTCAAGAGAGACGAGCAGTAGTCTAGTGTATTGTGAAGGGTCCAGGTTGTTTGTTACAACGTCAGGTGGGGCCATTATGTAGCAGGACAGGCCGTCGCCATGTTTTGAGCACTGCTTGCTGTGGTAGAGATAAGGACTGTTGCTTCATTCCTCTATCCACAGCAGTGACTCCTGACCAGAATGTTGAATTGGAAGAACAGAAGAAGCGGATGGAGGTTTTGTTTGGTCTTCGGCTTGGCGTGGCCTAAGGCAATCTTCAGTTAAATCTTACGCAACACGGGAGCTTTTCGTATGAGCTTTGTCAGATGTGTTCTCGAGGGAGCCAGGGGTGACGACCGTAACTCCCTTTGCGCATTGCCGTTTGGAGTCTACTAGGACAGAAGTTTACTGATGCGCAGCAGTACCTGAAGCTGCAGACGCATAAGGTCGTGAGATCTCAGGATTGGGAGACAGAATACAAGTTATCAATTCTTTGAGCAAATGGACAGGTGTTTCAAGGGCTGTTGTCTATCGGACATGCTTCCTTCAAGTATTGGGCGGAGATCCATCCAAAAAAAAAGACATTGTAACACGGAACAGACCATTGCAAACAATGAAGCAGGCACCGATTGTAGGTTCTTGCCAAACGTCAGGTACACGGAGGAACCCGTAGCGCAAGTACTGGAACAGAGAGCTATTGTGCCACTTTCCGATGGACCGGCATTCTCCAGTCATGACAGGAGGCTTTTAGTTTCAGCGAAATATTGTCAAGAAGCCGTAAAACTTGTCAACAGGCTATGATTCACAGCAGGGATGGTTGCTGCTGCTGCTTGAAGCTTTTCATTTGGACTGGCAGAACCGAACGCGCGCGAAGCGGTCTCTGGATTCGTTTCACAGATACCTATTTTATGTCAGCACGTTTGTCATTCGCATCAGCGGAAACTTATCCTTGCGTGGAACATTAAACCACCGGTCACAGCCCAAGTGGATGTCTTCGGTCTCATGTTCCAACGAGAGACGCCGTTGGATATATATTTTAAAAGTTTCGTGGTTACCATACATCCAAAGTGTTCGAGACACTGAAAAAACGCACAGCAGACGTTCTTTACGATAGTAACATCGAACGTGGCACCAACAGGTAGCAACACTGTTGGAGGGCGAAAATCCCGAGCGCAACGCTACCAAGACACTGACTCACTCGGGGCCAAACACCTCTTCCATAAACCCGAACTTGCAACACGCCAGGGCATCTGCAAAATACCGACCGGCAGATAACGAGAGAAGTCACATGGACTGGTAGGCGTTTATGCCACATCTCCCCTCAACACACGTGCCGGTGCTCCAATTCGATCGAGTCAAGAGTCAAGTCAAATGAGGAATGCAACACGCAGCGTTTACACCACATCCGACACACGCTCATCCCCAGGGGAAAAGATATGTAAAGGTGTGGGGGAGGGGAGGGGGGGGGGTGACGCATTGACACGTCAAACACGCCACCCTTAAACGCAGTGCTAAAACCTTCGTGTTACATTTGTCGATCAGTGAGAGATCCCCAACATTCCTTTTTTTGCGTGAAGGTCGAGCTTCCTCTAAATCACTTTTTTCTCTTGACGCAAAATCAAAAGCCACCAACTACGGCAGAAGAACCACAAAAAAAAGGGGGAACGCAAGACCAGGAGGTTGTCCCATAAAAAAGCGAATCTAAAAAACACCCACGAACGAACGTACGTACGTGTCTCTGCACCAATACGCTTTCGAAACGTTTGCCCGCCTGTGCCCGCTGACAGCAAACAGCAAGGAAACTACCACCCATGCCCATGCCTGTACCCCTGCATCGTTCCCCTCGCAAACTCGACAACAAGTTCGAACGCTGGGAGGGATCCAACACGGCTGGCTATCTGCTGTTGCATGTGTTAAATCCCTTCAACGCCGCCGCAACCTAAAGAGACGGAGGGAACGAATAAAAAAACTGCATCACATCTCGTCGTCGAGAGCAAAACACTTAAGCCAAGCCGGCGAGGGAGTCGACCTTCTCCAAGACACCCACGCCCGTGATGTGCTCCTGCACGATCATGCCAAGGATGGCGAACATGGCCAGGCGGCCGTTCTTAAGCTCCCTCAGCTGCACCCGCTCCCACGCCTCGGGGTTCGAGGGCTTAAGCCCGAGGGGGTCGAAGCCCAGGTCACCGCCCGCTTCGTTCTCCTCCTGCCTCTTGTTGCCGTACACCTCAACGGCAAAGATGGCCAGGATGATCTGGAGGAAGGCGAACGGGCGCTGTTCGTACACCTAGTGGCATTATCATTAACCAAGAGGGGGGGGGGTGGGAAGATCGTTACTTGCGGCAAACAAGCTGTCCACAAGCTGGGAATAGTAACGAAGAATCATGTACACGCTACTGTTCGAGGCGTTGGCTTTATGACCACATTAGTTGGCGAACATGCGGCTGCGTTACTTACGGCATGGAACAGATGGCCTTGTAGACGCTACTGCGTGGCTTTCTCAACGCATCGTGCTCAACGTGCACCTACACGACTCGGGGCACGGGTGGCTGCGGGAGTAGAGGTTTTCGAGGTACAACGCACTCTTCACGAGGCTAGATCATGGGATACGAGAGCAAGTGGAGGAGCAGTGCTCCGGGCACGTGTAAACGAATCCTCTTGAGATTTGTCTGGTACCGGTCCAAGAACATCTATCAAAACAATCAAAGCCGACACTTGATATTTGCGTCTCTTGGCATGGTTCACTTCAAAATTGAGGCATACTTGTTGGGAAAAAACACAAGGGTATTTGGTCCCAGCAAAACCGTATAGCAAGGTGGTCGCCATGTTTTCAAACGATATAATGACAGCAACCGTGGCGCACGACACAAAACCATATCCGACAGGTCCAATGCAATGCCTTCGTGCACATGTGGCATGCTGCTGAGCGGACTGAGGAGCAGCTTGCGGTCGGTCAACTCGGCTGCACGCGCGCGATAACGGAGTGCAGGTCATCGAAACGTTTCGATGGCGTGTTGATAAAAATGAGACGCATCATGTTTCGAGAAAACGACTACAACCGGGACCAGCTACACAAACAACGCCGGCGCTAGCAAACAGCCATCGTGCCACTTGCTGCACATAAATCTGATGTGAGTTCAAGTTCAGACGCTGAAGAGGGTCTAGAGCCGAATGCCCTCAGGACAAACGACAACGGCAAAATACATCGGCCTTCGAAGGCACAAGACCATCAACTATATTAACAGCTTTGGCGTCTGCTCGTTGGTCCTCGGCGTGGCAACCTGAAGGGGTGCACTGCCCCAGGATTGCGTACCGACAAGCTTCGCTGGCAGAGCTGATAATAATAAGCGATGCCTCGGCTTCAGTTTCTACTAGCAGCTCGAAGAAACCGCACCGTGAAAAACTGGGCAATGAACGGTCAGGATTCAAGGGCGAGTCGGTCGAAGCAGTCACTGAAGCATTCACTGCTTCACCCCACTCGCCCTTGAAATCCTGACCGCTTTTTGTCCCGTTTTCCACGGTGCAGTTTCTTCGAGCTGCTGGTAGAAGCGGAGGCCGACGCATCGCCTTCGCTCGCTGCGGAAAGAGGGCAATCCCCGCGGACCGCGTTTGACGATGAGCGTCCTTGTTTCCACGCCCGCGGGCCGGGCTGCACGCGAGGTCCATTCGACGGTACAGCAAAGGGCTACCCCCGCTGTTGTTCGGTCCACGCATCACTTGGACAAATTCACAGGCTGCTTGACCATCGCGGCGACATCAATCAAGTTCATCGGGCCGCCATCATCAACCTCTCACGAATGTGCCTAGGAGATGCGTGGATCAAACAATAACGGGGATAGCCCTTTACCGTCGAACGGACCTCCCGTGCAGTGCGCTAGCCCCACGCTTTGAGGCATAAAGCGTAAAGCAGTACGCCAACAGGAAAGCAGGATGGCAAACTTGGTAAAACAAACATCTTCAATTCTGTGTATGTGGTCTCGCCGACTACAACTGGAAAGAAGAATACACGGAACTGTTGTGACATCTTGAGAAGAACGGCGCTGCACCGAAATACAGGATGGATGAAGGTCATGCCGTTTATTGAGGCGGAGATATCCACCAAACTACAATCGAGAATCACGGAGAGTTCGCAATTATTTGATCACGATACTCCCGCGTGCAAGGTCTCTGCATACAAGACCCCGTTGGCCGGTTGTGAACACGCTCAGCACGTACGCATGTTTGAAAGAGCACGCGCTATCGTGCATGGGTTTGTAAGTCGTTTTCGTGCCTCATCCGAGAGGCCCGAACCTGCCACTGCAACTCATGTCTCCGCACTGTCAGAAAAATCTCGCCGCGTCGACGGCCGGGATTTTCTTCACACCACGTTGCGGCACTGCAAACCGCCCACGACGACATAAACCACTAGCCAGGCAGGAGAACAAAACTTTTTCCGTATGGGGTTAAACAAAAAAGAGGTCATGTGTGCAGTCTGTATGGAACAACGGGAGGTGTTGCAACGACCGGAGGTTCATGATTACCAGCAGCCGACGAATCATGTATCCGTGAAAGACGTCCCTGGCTCTCCACAGAACAAACAGGTCACGCCAGCAGCGAACGAATCAAACACGCGCATCCACAAGGCGCGCCTCCGGAGTGGCGCTCATCGAAAGCACACGTTGCATGTAGTAGCAGCGTCATCAAGGCGCGATGGCAACATGACAGGGAAGCATGTGTTGGTGGGAATCAGTTGCCAGGTGCCATCACTCCATGTTTTCCAAGCTGTAATAATCCCAATCTTGAAACACACCTGCTGCATTGCTCCCCATGCGGACCCGCTCTTGTCGAAGATTCCGGAGGGGTCGTTCCAGTGTGTGAAGTGCTGGGTGATCTGCCCGAACGCGGCGAGCATGCAGACGCGTCCGTGCTTGAGTTCCGCCGCACGGTACCACTGCATTTGCTGGGGGGGGCAGTTCTTGCCGAAGCCGAGGGGGTCGAAGGGGCCGCCGGTCTCGATGTCAGCGCCCACGAGGCCGTCGACGGCGTTGGTGGACACCGGCCGCGCGGGGGGGGCCTTCGGCGCCGGCTTGCTCTTCCTTCCAAATCCACCGATCATTTGAAGGCTGTGTGTCGGAAAAGTGGTTGAGGGGGGGGAGGGGTGGGGTTAGTAGCATTGACCTTGGTTCATGGCGAGTGACACAATCCATTAGCACCAGCTATATTTCTCTCTCGTCTTGTGGCTAACAGTGAGGACGAGATGCGGTGCCTCAACGGTCACTGCGGCCCGACAACACCAGCAACGTAGCTTTCATGAATACCATGATTGTTTCATGTTGGAGTTGTCGGATGTCTGCAACACTTGGCACACTACCATCCCTGCCAGAGAGCACTTGATGGTTTTAAGAGGCCTGGTTGGCCAACTCCCCCGCAGGCATGTACCGATTGAGACCCGACTATTCGTGCGTTGCTAATAGCACACGTCTCTGTAGGAATCAATATCCGGCGACCTTCATATTGCTGCGACCACAGAAAGGAGCCCATCATGTAACTCTTCCAAGACTCACGCAACGCATGTGTGTAAACTGGTAGTATGCGCTGCACACAGCAACATACAGACACACAGAGCAGGATTACAATCTAATCGCTGATACCTACGCTGTCCTAGGCATTCCAACATGAAGAGCGGGCAAGGGTGTGCTTCTCTGCGCCCCAAATGTCAATGTACGGCTGGCCAATCGCGGCTTAGTCATCGCAGATGTGCATAGGAAGACGATTGTTGTTTTACGTTCAAAAATTAAGTCAAGGGATTCCTGTGAATGTATCTCGTTGTATGCACTGTTGGAACGAGGCTGCGGTGTAGATAACAGCAGGGACGCGTGGGTCCGAGTCAGGGAAGAGCGCTGAGACCAGCGCATGTGTGGTCTAGGATGTGCACAGCAGCTACCAGGTTCTAGACGGACATTCGGTTGACCGGATACAGCAGACAATACCTCAACGTGAGGTGTGTGCGTATGAGGCACATCAAGTCAGCCGTCGTTTCTTTGCATGTAAGAAGGCAGAGGGAAAGAGCAGACACCAGCACGGGTTTGAGCCGAGATTGACCCGTGGGACAACAACACCCATCCACTACAGCACCCAAGGCCTCCAATTTCCCATCCAGGCAGCTGCTCCATCCACCTCCTGCACCCCAATGCTCCCCTTGGCTCACCCCACACAAGATGATGCAATTAGGCTGGGAGCATGTTTCTTGACGAGCGGGTGTGGTGGTCACCTCCCTCCCGGCTGATGCCTTCAACGCGACACACGGAATAGGCCTCACCGGACAGAAACCAAGCTCGTGATCGACATCTTACCCCAGCCTGTCTCCTACCGCTATGCGATGGCACGCACAAGCAGCTGACCGCTTGGGTGTCATGGGATGATCGAGAAACAACATGCAAAAATACGATCCCATTCGGTGGGCTCTCTCTCACCTCGATGACGATGCGCGGGACGTGACCGTGGGAAGGGGTGCGCTCGGTACGAATGCGTTGGCCGAAGCCACCATGAGGGCAAATGCAGTGGCGCACTTCATGATGCTAGTGGGAGGGTGGAGAAGAGTTATGGGAGTTGGTATCGTCGAGTAGACGCTAGGGGGCAACAACCACGTGAGCTCGGGTGATCCAGGAAGATGAGCTCGTGCGGCAAGCAGAGAGTCAACTAAACACGGGGGCCCGATTTTTCTGGTTGCGATCTCTATTAATTACGCCGAATATCGAGATTCCGCTGCCCGTTCTGGTCTAAATTCAAGATGTTCTGCGATTTCTCAAACCTAATTCCCGAAGATCCTGCACTTCAAAGGGGATTTTCGGGGGTATCCCCCCTTCTTGAAAGAACGCCAACTCAAATTTCGAGGGCGGTACTGGAAACCCAATTTTTTCGGGTTGGACGCATTCTCAGGGTCGTGGTACATGGCACTCGCCACCCTTCCTTGCTGAATGCTGCTGCCTGCTGCTGCCTGTTGCCTGCTTGTGTTCTTTCTTCCTTGCGGATTGTGTGGCGTGCTGGTGACGGAGGATTCGTGAGTGTTTCGGCAAGACATTACAAGCCTGGTAGTACAGCAGTCGAGAGCCGAGCGGGGCTGCGCAGCGCTCTTTCGCACTTGGGGAGAAACCAAATCCACCGCCCGGACTCCGAACGAGAACACAGGGCCGCGGGGGAGTAAATTCGCGACCTTCCAAACAGCAGCAGCTAGCTACTACAACGACTTCATCAGGGATTGCGCCGGACCGAGCTAGCTGCTTTGTCCCTTGCTGCCTGGCGGGAAGAGGAGGGCCACCGGCAGCAGCAGCAGCAGCAGCGAACGCACAGGCTGCTGCTTAAACTTCGCCACAGCTTTAAAGACTGATCGTTTAATTTTGCGCGAACCAACCTCTTCGGACTGGCTCTGCTGCCCGAATAAGACAGCTTCGAGGAGGGAGGATGGCCGCTGATAGACAGGGCGAGCTTGGGTGGACGCCCCCGCGAGCACCGGCGGTGTCTCGGCAGTTGTCTGGGTCAAGCCCCGGATCCTCCAGAGGGAAGCTGCGTTCGGAGTATCAGGTAATTGGAGCATGGTCTACATCTTCTTGAGTAGTGTGTGGAAACACAGATACACCTGCAGATTAGATAACATACACCTTGAGGACACGGCTGTTGAGTGTTTGTCGGTTCTCGGATGGTGTCAGGTTGCAGGTTGCAGGTTGCACGCATTGTTGTCGTATCATCTCTCCCTGTGGTCCCCTTGCATCTCTTTGCGGGTCTGCTTTGAAGCATGACCCTCAGTTCACGCGATAGTTCCATCTGAGACACACTTTCTATATTTGCTGGTGGTCTTGGGGAGATCTTGCGGCGGACAACGGCAAGACTGCAGAAGGACAGATCTGGCGTCCTCGGTGACCTCACCAATGGCCATTCTATCGAAACACGGCCGCCAATCGGCCTTGGATATCGCTGTCGTACATTTGAGCACCGTTCAGAGCGTCAATGAGCTTGCAAACAGGGTTGTTCCATTCCGCAATCACCGGCTGACGAATTTGGACTAAGCGGTGCGAATTTGATTCAGGGTTTTCTACGGAGCAGGAAGCTTTCGCGTCGAATTCGCACGCAACCACAGCCAGCTTTAGGAACCCACGCGCTTCCGCTTTGCACACACACACACATTCTTTTCCGTCGCTGGTACGGATCTTTGCGACCCTCCCATTGGCCTCAAGCTGCTGCCCACCCCCGAATGATTGCTGTTACGTGCACCCCTATCTGCGAGTGTTCCTTCCAAGGAGATCCATCTTGTCGGTGGTGAACTCTTGCATTGCAACCAGTAGTGCAGTAGTCTTCAGCAGTGTAGTGCTCCCATCATCAACCGTTTCATGGACGCACACGCGCTTACAGTGCGGCCAGACATAAGAACATAAGAGAGGGTGGGTCCTCGGGAGCACGTTTAACGTCAGGCCGGCCCTGATTTGCGCCGGCTGCCCCCGCCATATCTATGTGTCATTGTATTCGTGTTTTGGAATCAGTAGTCTTATGTATGTGTGTCGATGAACACCGGCCGCCTTTTATTTGCGCCGGCCACCGCGCCCAATGTGTGTGTGTGTGTGTGTGTGTATTTTGAAATTGCATCGACCGTTCTACAGTAGTTGCCGGCTGTGTGTTGGCAACAACGGTAGAACCACCTGCAACCCTCTACCACCCAAGGAAGCAACAGCAGTGATGCCGTCTTTCCCGCTTCTTCGGCGAGCGACCGGCGAGCGACCTGCTGATTGCGGCTAGCTTGATGCCAATGGGCAGGTCACAACCAGTGCCACATCCCTCTCATTTTCATCCCCAAGCCTCTTCAACGCCCTGTCTACCCGGTCTAGAAGTAGGACGTCCTGGCTTCACAAGTCGTCAACCAGATAAAAAGCTGGATCGGGCGTCTGGACTTATTTCGCTTGGTCTGTCTGTCTCTGTAGCCCTTTTCCTTGCCGCACTCATCCCCCTGCCGGCTCCGTCACGCTGCCACAGGCGCGACTAGGCGGGATGACCGTCAAGAAGCGCAGATCGGGTGCCCTCAAGTTCTCAGCAACCACCACCGACAGCCGACTTGCCACCGCTGCCGCCGCCACCCCTGCGGCGGCGGCCGCCGCAAGCGGGCGAACGCCTCCGCCGCCCCCACCTCCTAGACGAGGCAGCAGTCGCCAGACGTCTCTGTTGGACTTCTGTCACGACACAAGCGTGGTGCAACGACAACCTGCCGCGGCGGGAGGGGAGGCGGCAGCGGATTTCGGGCTGCTGGTACCGCCTGGCGGAGGTGTGGCGTCGGCGTCGGCAGCGACGGCAGTGATGCCCCTTCCTCAGCAGCAGCAGCAGCAGCAGCAGCAGCAGCAGCAACCGCAGCAGCAACAACAGGCGGATTCCAGCTCCACTGCGATGGACATGGACACTTCCGAAGACGACTTCGAAGCCGACAGCAGTACCCGACCGCAGCAGCAGCAAGAGCAAGAGCAACAGCAGCCGCCGACCTCCACTGGTACCAGCAGCTCCAGCGCCGGGCACACGCCCTCGCCCGCTCCCGCTCCGGCAGCAACAGCGACGCCGCCCACGGGGTTTCCCCCGCCGCCGGCACAATCCCCCGCGGACTCCTCCGGGCTTCTCGGGGGCGGCGCGGCGGCGGCACTGTCCAGCAGGAACGGCGGGGGCGCTAGCCCGGCCGGCGCTGGCGGGGGCGGCGGCGGCGAGATCGGCGGCGGCGGCAGCAGCGGCAGCAGCAGCAGCGGCCACCAAAGCCAGGCCATCTACAGCGACCGCTTCATTCCCGCGAGGTTCGGGTCCGTCCTGGAGACCGGCAGCCCGTTCTTGGTGGGGGGGGGCTCTCACTCGACGGCGGCGGGCCGCGGCGTCCACGCCACCAACGGCAACGGCAGCGGCGGAAACAGCAGCAGAAGCACCACCTCGCCGTCGCCCGGCGGCGGCGGCGGCGGCAGCGGCGGCCAACGCGGGGGTGGGGCAAGCCAAGCGGGGGCACGCGGCGGGGGGGGGCTGGCGGGTTACGGTAGCGGCTTCAGCCCGCGGGGGTTGATCTTCTCCGCAGGCGGGCCCGCCGCGGGCGGCGGCGGCGGCGGCGGCGGCGGTGGCGGCGGCGGCTCCAGGAGACGCCTCGATGCCGCTGACCCCGGCGGCATTCGCGGGACGGAGGGCGGCGGGGGCGTCGCCGGGAGGCAGGGCCGGCCTGGGGGGGCACAGGGCGCGCACGGGGCGGGGCAGCAGGCCGGGGGCGGCGGGAGTCCCGCGTTGCCGGGGGTCGGCAGCCCGGAGTACTGGCCGTACGGGTCCAGCGCGACCGACGCCCAGCGCGAAGGGCAGACGATGTTGAATATGCTGCTGAGGAGCGAGCTTCTGGGGACCGAGTCGCCCGGGGGGCGGGGGCCGGAGCAGGCAGGGGCAGCGGAGGCAGCGGCGGCGACGGCAGCGGGGAGGAGGGGGGGGAGGCTGGGAGGCGCCGCGGGAATGGGGGGGGGAGTGGGCGGCGATGACGGCGGGACGTCGGGAGGCGCGCTGACTCCTTCGCCGAATGTGTTTCGATTCAAGGTGGGCAAGCAGTATTTTCCCCCATTAAGAGTATTTCTGAATGAATGTATGGTAGGGTGGAGGCTTTCGTTTTGTGATGCGCAGACATTTTTTACAACTGTTTTTGTTATCGAGAGGTGGTATGTAGCGATACCGCAATTCAACACCTACCCGCTAGAAGCATCTCTAAGCTGGGTTTTTCTCATGAAAACTTGGGACTGTGGCTTCCACATAAGATTAATCGCATGCCCAGAGCAAGAGAGATACACGGTATGCTTCTTCTGCGGAATGAGGCGTCGCTGTCCCGGCTGCGCAAATTCACACCTTTTATATAGAACGTCGAACTGTGCCTCACTATTGCCTGCCGTCGTCTCTCGGTCACGGGGGGAGCATCACGATCCAGTCTTCTCTCGCTCACTCTCTCTCCGAAGCTGTGTGTCGCGTTGCTTACGATCTATCTCCTCGACACCGCTGTCTGTCGTGTGTTTGCCTACGGTACGTGTGACCGGGCCGGGGCCACCTGTGACACGGCTGTGGGCCATCTTGGTGTCCAGGTTCCGAGGCAGGCGTACGAGGAGGACGTGAAGATGTCGTACTCCATCTCTCCTGTCAGCCAGTCTACCAGGATGCTGTCCAAGCCCGGCAAGGCCAAGCGGAAGATTCCCAAGATCCCCTTCAAGGTCTGAAATATGTTCCCTTCCTTTCGGAGAAAACGAACAATCGCTGCAAGACGCCAAGCGTAGAATACGAGGTCGACACCCCCGGCAGTGAAGGTCTTTTTTGACGAATATTATCGACATGACCCCCGTGTCCCTCGTACCCAGCTGAGCCCAACCAAAATCATGGCATATGGCGCCCATCCGCCGTATGTTGTATCATCAGGTTCTGGATGCACCGCAGCTTCAGGACGACTTCTACCTGAACTTGGTGGACTGGTCTTCTCTCAACGTCTTGGCTGTCGGGCTTGGCGCGTGCGTGTACCTGTGGAGTGCTTGTACCAGCAAGGTTTGTTGCTGTTTACACTGCTCCTGTATTGAGTTGTTGGTGTTGTGATCGAATTTGGTGACATTGTGTCGACGTTCATAGTGGTCGTGATGCTGCTGTCGTCGTCGGTGTGGTTGTGTTGATAGAGTTTGGTAATGGTGATGTTATGGTTGGTTGTCGTTCATAGGTGGGGGTAGTGGGCTGTGATAATTGTTCTCATCGTCGTTGTCGTTTTCATTGATGGCGGCGATGTTGTTGCGGGCGGCACCCATTGGCCAGCTCCGGTTACCCCGCATCAGTCATCTATGGTTAAAAGAATCGCGACCGGACCGACTGAACGGCCAACCGTCACCAATCTCGCCGCCGCACTACCACTTCCTCAGGTGACGAAGCTGTGCGATTTGGGGCGGGACGTGGTGTCTTCCGTGGCGTGGACGCAGAGGGGGACTCATCTTGCCGTGGGCACGAATACCGGTCTTGTGCAGATCTGGGACACCGGGAACTGCAAGAAGATTCGCACCATGACGGGGCACTCCAACAGGTAGGTGTAGGTTCTATGTTGTTGCGAGGTGGTATTAGTGGCGATGGTGTTGTTGTTGTTGTTGTTGTTGTTGTTGTTGTTATTGTTGTTGTTATTGTTGTTGTAGATGGTGTAGGGTCTCCAAACACTGTCGGTTGTTTGGGCGATCGCGGCGACGTGACCGTGACTCTGGCAGGCGGAAAACATGGTCTTGGATATGTTTTGAGTTGGCAGTCGACGTGATGTACTTCCCACTTGCGACGTCTCACTGGCACACACACGCGCCGACCGACGGATTTTCGTTGGTCAACCGGTTAGCGCGGTCGATGCCGGTAGAAACAATCCGCATGTGCCCACCCTCCGCTTGTGGTTGCGCATGTTCACAACGCGTTCACAACTTTTTTTTTCGCTCCAAATGTTGCACTCTTGCTGAACTGGCGGGTTTTTTTTTTGTAGGGTGGGCACCATGTCGTGGAACGCTCACTCGCTAGCGTCGGGCAGCCGAGATCGCCTGATCCTGATGAGAGACGTTCGCGCCGCGGAACCCTTCACGCAGAAGCTCGTCGGTCACAAGCAAGAGGTACACAAACCAAAATAGAGGCACTGCAAGGCGGCAAGGCCGTTGAAGCAGAACGACAGCAGTGTTTGGCATCTTTTGGTAGATACGCTACCCCGTATCACACCTGGGAAAACAAGTCGTAGTTCACGTAGATCACGTAGGTCGTTCCCTAGTTACCTACCCGCATCACACCTGGAAAAACAAGTCGTAGATCACGTTGATCGTTCCCTAGTTGCCGAGTGAACTACGACCCCAGTACCATCCACGCAGGTTTGGCCGGAAGATATTCTCTCATTACGTCGACTTCTATTTCTGTTAGCTTGCGGACCCTTCGGGTCCATTTTTATTTTCGTATGTATATCTTGTTTTGGGTAAGTTCGCCTGTGACCACGGGAATTGACCCGCCAAGTGTTAGACTAGTACGGACAGAAGAAGGTACTGAGCAGAGAGAACGGAACGACTTTTAATGTGAAAGACACCAGCAGCAGCAGCAACAACAACAACAACAACAACAACAACAACAACAACAACAACAACAACAACAACAACCCTTAACCCCTGCCCTTCCTTGCCGCTTTTGTTGCGATGTGCGGGGGTCACATCCAAATCGGATTGTAACTATCCTTGTCTCAGGTGTGTGGACTCAAGTGGTCCTTCGATGACAAGCAGCTAGCTTCCGGCGGCAACGACAACAAGCTTCTCATCTGGAATGCGCACTCCACGTCGCCGGTGAGACGAGGCTGACCGGTAGACAGACGGTAGACAGACAGGCAGACACCGCACGGCACGAAAAACAAGCACACATAAACACATTATTGAAGTTTGGGTTGGGGATATGATTACGGTCGTATGATTTTCCCGTCAAGATGCTTGACGGGAGTCTTACGAGTGCTATTGCGTCGTCCGAGTTTCGATGCCCTCTCCTGCGACCGACCTCCTACTCTTCGCGCACCGTCTACTCACCCTCATGTGTATACTTACCCCTTCTTCCTTCTCCTCCTCCTCCTCCTCCTCCTCCTCCTCCTGCCCTAACCTATGCATAGGTCCTACGGTTCAGCGAGCACACCGCGGCGGTGAAGGCCATCGCCTGGAGCCCGCACCAGCACGGCATCCTCGCGTCCGGAGGGGGCACCGCGGACCGGTGCATCCGCTTCTGGAACAGTCAGACGTCCGCTGGGCTCAGCTGCGTCGACACAGGCTCTCAGGTAATCCACATGCACGCGCATTAGAAAAACAAAACAAACGCTCTCTCTCTCTCTCTGCGGGGGCTATTTTGTTCCATGTGTGGATGTGGATGTGGATGATGAGAAATTGGAGGGTGCGTTCTTGCGACGGTTGTTTGTGACGTTTCCACGTCTTGAGATAAGGAATTGTATACTCTCATTTTTGCACAGGTGACTGGGCTGATTGTTTATCCATCGCTAAGTCAAAGCCTCCGATTCGGAAGTATTTACGGCCGGTTGATTTTTATGTCCACGTGCCGCACGTGTGTAATTCGTGGGTTGACCGACCGATAACTTCCCCTCGTGACGGGTCGCTCCGTTGTCGCTGGTCGTTGGTTTGACTCGCGTACGGAGCATCTCGCACAAGACAAGTGGTCAAGTGGTGGAAAGCTGATCTTGTCACCCGCATTCGGCGTTGCCCCCCCCCCCCCCCCCCCCCCC